TCCCGGCTGCAATCTGTCTCACCATCTGTGCAATGTGGCCAATTCGGGATGGGTGTTATTAGTTTCAGCTGCTCACTCCATTTGCTCCGGGACACGACCTTGGACATGTCTGCCTATATCGCCGCCATCTTCCGAGTCCTGATTAATTTATATTTAACATTTCTCTTCTTCTCCTTATTACATACATTACCTTTCTAAATTTCATACTTTCAAATTAGCCTTTAAACCTTCTTTCTATGTCCTTTAAAAATGCATAACTATGCCTAAAACCTTCTATTCCAAACAGGCCTTTCCTAGTTTTCTACAGTTGAGGTTTGTACCACCCCTGACATGGGCATGGTCACGCAGGCCTGCAAGACAGTATACAGGCTGCCAACTGTCAGCTGTTTCTTAATAGAGACCAAAACCTAATGGGTACTCTTTGCCCAGTTGGGCACCTGCCCTCTTGGCAGCCAGCCATCCTTTACTTTTGGGGTTCACCCCATATAGCCCCCTTCCAGGACAGTTAACATATGGCCATAACAATGGCCTTCAGTATGGGAAACTGAACACTTGCCAGTTACTCCCAAAGACTACCAAGGACTGTAGACCAACACAGGTCTACAGCAACTGCTGACAGCTACATTCAAACCTGCAAGAGAATCAAAGGTTAATACAACATATTAATACAATGAAACATAATATTGGCAGCATGGCCGCTTCAGGAGCCAAATCTCATGCTAACAAACATGACACATGGTAGGGCTATACAAATACCTTTGAGGGAGGGCAACTAAAGTTCACTGTTGACCCTTCCTACACAAAACAAAACTGTCCTTAACTCTCTGGAGCCATGTCCATGAGAAGAAGGCATCAGCCAAGTCCATCATGTAGGGAATTGCTCTAATGCCATACAGGGCGATCCATGCTCTTGGCTGCAACCAGCACCTGGGAATGTAGCAGGGGAGTCACCTTGCTCAGTTCTCTGCAAGCCACAGTCAGGGCTTGTGTGCGGTGGTCATTCTTCTCCTCTCTAGCTGCAAACACAGTCTGAACAATCTCCATAAAATGCATTCTGGCACAGAAGAAAGTTGTTTGCTGCACAGAGGCAGCTAACCTCTATATAACTGGGCTCAGACATTTGCCCAGCAAACTGTAGTCTACAAATTCAACATGCAGACTCCAGTTCTCCTAACCCAATGAGGTTTCGGCCAGTCTCTGAGTCAGACTCCTCCTCTCTTGTAGAATTTCAAAGTCCTGATGGCTCCCATGTCCAGGGAGAGTGCCCTTTTGTTAACCCTTAGGACCCTGCTTTTTGCCTTTTCACCAGTTCCCTTTGTGGCAGAGCAGCAATCAGGCCTCTTCCAAGGGAGTGCACTGGAAGAGGATATCAGTCCCTCCTCTTCCAGCAGTAACAGGTACTAAACCCTTTTAGTACATTTGCAAACAGGGAGCTTTTGCTAGCTCTATCTGCATCTTTCCCTGCTTTGCTTACTGCTGCTTCTTCTCTCAGGGCCATAGCAGCTCTGCTCAGACATCCAGCTGCCCTTCTTTGACCTGGCTCTCAGGGGCTGAGTCTGCCTGGCAAACAGTTCTAAATCACCAGGGCAGCTGCAGACTTCAGCTTTGTTCCTCCTCTGCTTTTCTCCTGGGAGTTTAGTTGTTTTTAATGTATTAGAATTTTTTATTCTTAGAAACCTTAATCTTTTAATGATTACCAAAAGTGAACAGTCAGCAATTTTAGATTAATATTTATGAACACATTTTAAAGTACTTTTACTCTCAAGATATATCTAGACCTTTTGTGACAAAACTAAGAACAGGTATCAGTCTGATTCAGCATTGGCGGGTTTAAAGAATAACCCAGGGTAGAGAAAGACTACTGTGTTTACAGTTACTTTTTGTGACCTTGAAGTTCATTGATAAGGCCTGTTAGGTCTGCAGCCAGTAGCATAACTGCCAACACCCCCGCTCCCCTTATCTCAGCCCAGTTGTTTGTCTCCCTTTAAACAGTGGGATTTTTGAAGAAAACCACAGACTGCTCCTATAACAGCCCTCCCTCCCAAAGGCTGGGGTCCGACCTGTGGGGTAATATGACTCTTAGGCGGCCTGGAAAGATAACGGGTGCATAGGGAGATTTCTTTCAGACAGAAAGCCTGGAGACCATCTGAAATCCAGTTACAGATGCTTTCAGAATCAGGTTGAGGGAGGAAGGGAAAGACCAGGTTATGTCCTCTATGAGGATTCTAATAAATAATTGAAAACTGCAGGTTAAACAAAACACAGTCACAGGCAGTAAATCTCTCCATCCTTAGGAGCTGTAAGCCCTTTGTGTCCACCAAAGACATAAGAAAACCATAAATAACAAGTTCTTTGAAATTTACTACTTTGTTAATTTGCTAAGCAAACAGTTAACTTGAAAAGACTTCTCTCTTGCTTTTTACAAGCAACCTCAGAACTAAGCAATTCTTGGAATTACAACGATTTACAACCCAGGTAAGAGCAACTGATAGACAGAAATTTTTGTTAGTAAAGTGGGCTGATTCCTTCTGTAATGGTGAGCAAAAGACTCTGCGAACTGCTAGAGACTCTTGCAGCCCATCGCAGGTCCAGTCCAAATGTTCAGCCAGATGAATTAACAGAAATGCAAAATAAATCAAAGTAGCTTTTACTTTACGCAGACCAGTAATGAGCAGCTAAGGCGAACACCCCATATTTACACTTTCTTAGACTAGCCCAGGCTGGAGCTGTATCCAATCCCCCTTCTCTGTAGTAAATTGGCTAGTCCTACACAAACAAACAGCTGTTCACTCATGCTTTCTCAATGTTTCAGCATTCATTCCAATTCCACAATCTCTATTGTACCCCTTTAAAATTTTCTAACATGTAATTAAGAACAGTAGGTTTACTTTGCCCTGACCTCATGATGATCGGTGACGAGAGACAGACAAGGGAGGGGGTGACCTGTTTTCACAGGTCCTTACTCAGATGTCTGCCTGACCGAAGTCATGGAGCCACACAAAGGACAGGAGAGGGCAGGCCCCCTCCCTCCACACTCACATACTTTCACCAGACATTCACTTAGCAAAGGCATTTAGCTACCACAACACACAGTTTTTCCCAATTTAATCCAAACCTTAAACTTTTAGCTGGCAAGTCAAATATTCAGCATTTCTCAATCAGTAACATTTTTAAGAATAAACTTCAAAAATGCAAGACATAAGTTTTTTATCATTTGAATTCAGTAAGCTTCAAGGTCCCAAGTTCCCAGCGGTTCTGGAAAACCACACCTCAGGCTGGCAAACATGTTTGGCCCAGCCCTTGACTTCAAAACGACCATAATGCTTAAAAGAGTAGTTTGGGTCTGTCCCATAATGTCCGTCCAGTAAGTCCACAGAAAACAGAAAAAAAAATGCAAACACAGACAAACAAAGACACCCAAGAACAGCCTTCCGACCCCACAGAAGCAAAGCTGAAAACTGGATGATGGCCTTATGCCAACCAGCGGGAGTGACCCACCTCGTCCCAGAGTTTTGAAGGGAACCCACTCCCCTCGTGAGGGGTTTTCACACCCCTCCAGACAGAGGATCAGAGCGTCCTCCAACTCCTCCAGCCCGAGGTCCTCCAGTGCATCCACCTAGACTGTTTCAGGCACTACAGATTTCAGAAGTGAGCTCACACAGGACAGAACACACAGACCAGAACAGACAACACACAGGCACTTACGACGGTCAGTCAGACTCTCCGGATTGGGGTCCCGTGTGAGTCTTGGGGATCCTGGATGAGCCCCCAAATGTAATGCCCAGATTTAAAAATCGCCCAAGTCAGACCACTAGGGAGCCAAGTCCAATGCAAAGGCATAGAGTCTTTTATTCAAGCCCAGGCTTGGTCCCCCTCTGCCTCCATTACTGGATGCGATAGAGAGCCCTGAGTCCCAAGAGAACAAAGGTTATATAGGGCTAGTCATTTGGGTGGGCTTAGGTAAGTGACGTGTGTTACAGAGATTGGTCACTCTGGTCAGGGTTTTTCAGCAGGGTTTTACAGCACAAAGGTCAGGAAGTGACCAACACATTCTGAGGTTTGAGCCATCCCCCACTATAGCCTTATTAGGACCTTAGCTGCGTTCCTGGAGCTTCATTGGCCCTACAAGATAAAGTGGAGGAGAGTTCGTTTATGCTTTGTCCTTTCATTAAGCTTGCCTGTAAAATGCCTGACCCTACATTCTGACATGCTCGAATCATTTCTGTAATGGTACTATTTTTTCTAAGAGGCATTAAACATTTCTTACAATAAGCATTTGCATTTTCATAAGCTAATTGCTGAGTCAAAATATCTCCTGCAGTCTCATGTTGAATCTGCCTTCTCACTGCTCGAGTGAGGCAAGCTACAAAATCAGAGAATGACTCAGTGGGACCCTGCAGGCTTTTTCAGGTTCCCTGTTTGCTGGTAAAGTCCACTAGGCTTTTCGTCCACAAAGTCTAATTTGCTTATATGCTTGCTGGACATATTGGAGCTGGTTTTGAACATCACTAAATTGTCCCTGTCCTGCAACCATCTCAAAAGTTATGGGCCTGAGATTTGAAGAAGCTTGCTCTTGACATTTCTCTAAAAATTCTCCTTTCCAGAGCAAATAATTTCCTCCATACAGAGTTTCACGGGCTAGAGAATACCAATCATAAGGAGCTAGGAATGCTTCTGAAATATTAGTTATCATTTCTCCAGTAAATGGAGCATTTGCACCATTCTGTATTACACTATCACTCAAGGCCTTTATCATTTTAAAGTCAAATCTTTCATGCTGTCTTATTATTTGATTTGGGAATTGTGGATTAGCTACCTGTATAATAGGAAAAGCAAGTCTATATTCTACTGTCATGTCCTTTAATCCTTTTCTGATGGGTTTTTGCATAAGTGATTCTGTTAGTGGCGATTTAAATGTTTCAGAATCAGGATATGAAGGCCACTCCTCCAATTTATCTTTCTGCTTCTCTTTAGGAGCAGAGGGTGCAAGGGGAGGAGGTCTTTCTTCTCTGAAAGGCTCTAGCAAATGCAATACCATTTCCCACAAGGAGAAAGAATTTGGAGGCAAATTTTCCCCCCACCACTGAGCTTCTTTCAAGTTCTGACCTATCCGTTCCCAACATTCAATATCGAATGTACCCTCATCAGAAAACCATGGATTATGTTCTATAATAAACTTTAGAAATTGTAAAAGAAGATCTTCTGAAACTGCAATTCCCTTATCCTTTAATAAGCAAGTCAGAAGTCTATATGAATGTCTCTCCTCTCTCCACAAATTCTGCCCCATTTTGATCTGGTTGAAACAAAAGAAATCACTCGAGCACTTATAGATCAGTAGGCTTCTGCAGCTGACACGAGTTCTGCATGCAGTTAAGCTTCCACCACCAGGTCCGGTGATATTTTTCCGCCCTGGTGAATCCATTCCCTCCAAGTCCCTTGTTTCGGATGGCAATTGCGAGAGTCCACGGCCAGTGTGGCTTTCGCGGGTTCAAAGACTTGGAGGAAGGGCTGACGCGCAAATGATACACAAGACGAAATATTATTTTTGACTACAGGGAGAACCAGAGGACAACTCAACTAAAGAAGTCAAGTTCTCCCTGTTGCTCCTTTCCCAGCTGCTTTTATTAACTAGAATACACAATTGCCTTTAGGAATGCAAACAGACATATCAATGGTAATGTTTAGCAAACAGTAAGATTGTCAGGTTTGGGGGGAGTTTGCTTTAGGCCATTGAGTCAGCAGCAGGTAATAAAATGTAGGTATTCACCCTGTGAATATCAAAAGGAGTCCTGGTCAGCCTTCTGCCAGACTCCTCACATTTATATCAATTATTGTTGATCTTGGTCTCCAGCAGAAAGGAACACTTCCAAGCTCTTTTTATGAGGTCAGCATTACCCTAATCCCAAAACCAGATAAAGACACTACAAAGAATGAATTACAGGCCAATATTCCTGATGAATATAGCTGCTAAAATCCTTAACAAAATTCTAGCAAATAAGATCCAGCAATACATTAGAACGTTTATAAACCATGACCAAGTGGGATTTATTCCAGGGATACAAGGCTGGTACACCATCTGCAAATCAATAAATGTGATAAATTACATAAACAAACTGAAAGATAAAAACCACATGATCCTATCAATAGATGTAGAAAAAGCATGCAACAAAATACAACACTGTTTCTTGATAAATATTATCAACAAAGTGGGAATAGAGAGATTATACCTCAACGTAATAAAAGCTTTATATGACAAACCTACAGCCAACATCATACTCAAAGGGCAAAAACTAAAACCATTTCCCATAAGAACAGGAAGAAGACAGGGGTGCATACTTTCACCTCTCCTACTCAACATAGTACTAGAAGTGTTAGTCATAGAGATCAGACAAGAAGAAAAAAGGCAGCCATCCATTCTGTGTGATATTACACACAGAATACCCGAAAGACTCGATCAAAAAAACTACTAGATTTAATAAATGAATTTGGTTACATAGCAGGATATAAAATTAATACACAGAAATCTATGGCATTTTTATACACCAACTAGTGGTCCGGTGCAAGAAATTTGTGCATGGGGGAAGGGGTGTTCCTCAGCCCGGCCTGCACCTTCTCCAATCTGGGACTCCTTGAAGGATGTCCTACTGCCAGTTTACAGGGATTGTGCCTAAACTGGCAGTCGGACATCCCTCTCTCAACCCAGGACTGAGGGCTCCTAACCACTCACCTGCCTGCCTGCCTGCCTGATTGCCCCTAACCACTTTGCCTGCTGACCTGATCACCCCACTTCCCCCTGACATTGGCCTGCTTGCCCCCAAATGCCCCCCAACAGCCTGATCACCCCCAACTGCCCATCCCTGATGGCCTGCTCACTCCAAACTGCCCCCTTGCTGTCCTGATCACCTCCAACTGACCCCCACTGATGGCCTGCTTGGCCCCAACTTGCCCTCTTGCTGGTCTGCTTACCTCCAACAGGCCTGCCCCCCACCAGCCTGGTCACCCACAACTGCCCTCCCCTCCCAGCCTCTCACCACCTCTAC